ATCTTGAGAACATCATGAGAACATCAATTGTTAGCAGCTCTGGGTGCATCTGATCAAGTTCCAGTGTGTAACATTTGGGAGGATCTATTAGTAGAAATGGAATATAATACTCATAGGTGTGTTACCATTAGTGTATAATCACTTGAATATAGGAATCGCTGTGTTTTTGTTACCTTAGATTGAGCTGTTTTTAGCTGCAGAAGCCGCAGGTCACCATGTTTCTACAGTAGCCGAGAATGGACAAACCGAACAGCAGCAGAGTTTTGCCACCACCGTAGTTTCTCCTGCACACTTCGCTGCCCATTCTCATTCCCTGGTCGTGAAATACAGATGCAAGTGGTGTTCAGTTAGTTGAATTCTGCAGTTTCACCGCTAGATGCCACTAAATCCTACACACTGGTCCTTTAACTGCTACTGCTTCCTTCATTACATCGCTGCTCAGGCTCATCACTCATCCACTGTTTTCAGTGTGTCATTGAAGCATCCTAAAAAAAATCCATTTTGCTTTGTGCAATTTACCAATCAACCAGTAACTGTTGGTACTTACTTGATTGTAAAGAAGCAGGCTTCCATTTCTAGTGGGCACACATACATTATTTGTCGTCTGAAATAACAACTGTCGCAAGAGATTTTTACATTTATAGCTATATAACTAAGATAAAGTTGGCTTAGAGTTCATTGACAATATGTCTAAGGCTGACTTTTTTGAATCATAAACGTTTTAAAGATGTTTTGAATATAGATTTGATGGCTACCGTGCTAAATGACTGAGGCTTAAACTAACTGGGTCCTGGGCAAAAAAGTAATTTGCCAGCCTGACCGAATAGCAGCTTTGTGCAGCTTGCAGTAGCCACATAAGTGTTATATAGAAGTGTGCAACTTTAAGGCTGGATGTTTATGGTCTTCAGCAGATATCAGAGTCTTTCTCTGGCTGTTGGTGAGCATTGAATTTTTACTGCTGTTTTTGTTTGCATCAGGGTCTGTTTGGCAGATATCATGACAGTTTCTCTTGTTGCATCACTTAACAGCAGCTTTTGTGGCTGATACATCTGCATTTAAGGTAACAACTATATTTATCATGTTTCAGTCACTGTGAGTTGTCTCATAAAGTATGTGAGTTCAGTTACTTAATGAAGTTAATGGCTGCTAATATTCGTCTATATTTTGAACACTGTATTTTGAATCGAAACCGTATGGACCGTTTTTTTGTTTTAGGGGGGTCTTGAGCTCTTGAGTGGACTGGACTACGGGGGCACGTCTTACAAAGAAGGTGGACAACCACTATGAGTATTTGTGACAGCAGGACGGCATATGTGGTATGAACTAAAAATAAACCAGCGTGGCCACGTCTTTGATAATAAAGGTCACTTTGAACCTTGACCGAAGTGATGTCAAAAAAAGTACCATGTACTATCATTAATAGACACTCAACAAAGAGTTGAGTCAAGCAGTAACACGCAGTGGCTCAATGCTGTGTTAAATAGTTTTTGGAACAAACATGAAGGAATAAATAATATCAGGCTTTGGTTATTTGATACAGACATACAAACACATTATTAACTGACACACCAACCGTTAGTCTAACCAGATTTTATGTTTCGTTTTGGATGGAAAACATCTGAAAATGTTTCCATGGACAACAGAGAAGAGAAATTTTAGATGAAAAGTCTGAACAGGAACAAATGATGGAGATAGATAATTGTTTTCCAACACAAGACTCCTTTTGATGAATGTCTCATTATAATCTGGAGATGATGGATGTGAGTTGGATAAAACCTGGTGTGTATATGACTGTTTAGGCAAAATGAAGGATATGAGGGCCTCTCAATCCTATTCTTTGCACAGTGAGGTGTAACGGTTCAGAGTGAAAGGTTTTAATGGCTTTCAGTTGTTATTATTCTGTGTGTTATGACAGCTTGATTGGGCCTACGGTCTTCTTTCATTGCTGTTCCATTTGCATGCAACTCCCTTTGCCTCCTTCCACAGCTTTGTGTTGTTATGGTAATTTTCATGAAGTAGATTGCATCTAGCTAGCTGCTCCACTTGGGTCCTGTCTGTGGGAGAGGCCCGGAGCAACAGCATAATAATCATAATGAACACATCTTTACTGTGTGCAAGGTTACAGGTAGGGTTTCATTTAGGTTTAGAGTTCATTTCAGAGCAGCACTCGAGCTAACACTCGTGGCATTTCAGCTGATCAGGTGGCCCTCTGGCTAGCTGAAGTGGCCCCCTGGAGTGACAGTAAGACAAAAAAGTGTGTAAATTCAGTGTATTGTGTAATTTTACTATTCTTCTTTCAGTCTTTCTTTCAAAAGTTGAAAGGTTTTTTTTTACAGCTTGACCAATTCTTGATTTTTGAAGGCTGATGCTGATCAGATATTTAAAATAGATAAGGATATATCAGCCAGTATTCTTTATTTATTCTTCTGTTACATAAATATATAACTTGACATATTTAAGAAAATTGTGACTTACATATGTACATAACATTTTATTTATATATTTATGTATTCAGCTTGGTTTTGCTTGTTCTAAGCTGTTATGTCTATTCCTGTGAAAGTACATCGAGAGCAATGAAAAAGTCAAGACTCAATACCATTGCAGGCGCACACATACTTGGCCAATAAAGCTCATTCTGATTCAGAGCAGGACGTTTTATTGTTGAAAATTAAACTGCAATAAACCACAGCCCAGCATCCTAAAATGTACAGTTTAAATGGTGCAATTCTCTGCCTCCTGAGTTTGGTCCAGTGTCAGCGTTCAGTGCCAAAAACAGGACGAAGTGTGTTCTTTATGTAGTGAGGCAGAAAGTGTCGGGGGCCTATGAGACAGGAGTTTGTGTTCAGTCACAGACCTGCAATTTTGATTCGCCATTTTATTCACTGTACCCCACAACCTTTCCCAAAACTCAACCAAGTGTTTTTGTTGCCTGACCGACCATAATTTATGTGCCATAACCATGATCTCTCCCAAACCATAATCATATTAAAGCTGCCATTTAAAGTTATTGTAAAAAGCGAGAATTGTAAAACGTCTGCCTTGGACATAAAAAGAAAGTTTGTCACTGAAGACAATCTCTGGTTTTGCCTCTTTTGGTATAAGTAACTTTTACTTTTTAGCTGCAGTTTCATTTCAGTGTTTTTCATCTGAGCAGCCGACTTGTGGCGCTTCCGGTGAGTCTGGAACACATACCGTACAAGTGCTGCTCTTGATACTGATAACATGAGCAGCTTGAAAAGTAATTCACAACTGCAATTACCCTTGAATATGACAGTGGTGAGTAATTCAACCAGTGGAGTAAATATAATAATCTTCAACAACTCAGTACCACTCAGAGTCTACATCACTGCCTTGATCATCACTGCTGTACGTCATTGACACAAGCATGAACGTATGAACTATGTTTAGTTTGGTATTTGGAGAATATAAGTTAAAATTGGAGAAGGATAGAATTTCAATCCAGAGAGAGAGGTTTTCTAACAATTATAAATTAATTGTTACAAGCAAATTTAAATCTCCACACATCTTTGAAAGCCTATTCAGAAGGCACAAACTGTATTTCTGAAAAAGCTGATTTTATTCTGAGCTTTTCTATTTTCACTTTTTCCCTCACCTGAAGCTGCTGTTTCCCTGCAGCCCTGTGTGCATCTGCATACCTATTTCCAGCACTGTGAAAGTGGCATGTGCCTGCCTTGACTGTATCTTTTCATACGTGTTAGTATGTCTGCAGGCTTGTGTTTTTTGCGTTACAGCATGTGTTTGTGTGTAACAAGGCCTCATGAACTCCAGCACCTGACGCTGGGCCAGTGAGGAGTAGCTGCCATCTGGTCAGCCCTGAGGGAGTCCGCCGGCCACCCAGAGCTGCTCAGCCCTAACAGGTAGCCCGTCTGACATCTCCAACTCATCTCCAACCCACCAAACGGCAGATAATGAGGGGGAGACAGCTGGCCGTTGGACCCTGTGTGCCCCCCCACCGACACCACAGAAACTGTCAGAAGTGCCTGAGCTTTCCAGCAGTGTAAGCAGTTTCGTGGTAGTGGTGAGTTTTAAATGGGCACATTGCTGCCTGTGTGTGTGTGTGTGTGTGTGTGTGTGTGTGTGTGTGTGTGTGTGTGTGTGTGTGTGTGTGTGTGTGCACAGTTGTCCATCAAAGGCAGGGATACCCATGAATCTAACAATACACCCTCAACAGTCACAGTTACATGTGTTTTGAGCAAGTAGAAAGGATACTCAACAATAAGGCTTCCTCTGTATAACACTGTATCACAGCTTTGTGTGGTTGCATCAGTCAGCCTACAGATGGCAGTATTTCAAAGGAAACTTGGAGTGCATGCTACTGTGTGCATTTATCTGGACTGCTGAATGAAAATAAAACGCATATAAATTCATTGTAAAATGTGTGAATGGTCACTTTATAAAGTCCCAAATGGGCCTGACTGTCTGCCTCTATCTGACTTGATGAGTGAGCTGCTGTAGCATCATTTCCTTTCACACTCTTCCAAGCCACATTTTTTTTTTTTTTTTTTGCATTTACTACAGACGATGTGTGGATACATGTCTCAAAATATACAACAATAAAACCAAAATACAACCGAATTGCTACACGTCATTTTACAAATACATGAAGATAGGAATCATTTGACAGATAGCCTTATTTTAAACTCTTGACATTATCTCCATCCTGCGCGCTGCTGATAACATAAGGCAGGCTGGGTTTTATACATTTGAATTTTACACACACACACACATATATATATATAATTCTATTGCACATATCAAATAAATTGATAATTTCTCCATATTGAAAAAGATAAAATTTTCATCTGCCTTGATGTATAAATCCACAAACACTTTGAAGAGTCCCAACGCCGAAAATACATTAAATGTAATGCAAAGCACTCAAGTTGTGCCAAAGGATGACGCGACGGAGGTTGGGTCTGAAAGCGCACACTGTACGTGAGGTGCAAGTGAACTGATGGGTGACTTCATGTAGCACCGGCATCCAGAGAGAGAGAGAGAGACAGAGAGAGAGGGAGAGACAGACAGACAGGGAGAGAGAGAGGGAGAGAGAGAGAGAGAGAGAGAGAGAGAGAGGCTGCCTGTTACAGAAAATGATCAATCCCTGAACGAGGTGGGAGGGTCACTTGATACCGGCTCCTTCTCAGCGGCTCACTGCTGCTGTCCAGATGACTTTACAGGTTGTGCGTCGCGGCATCGCATAGAATAAATTAACCGGCAGTTTATGTCGCTGTATTTGGCGTCCACACACATCCGCTGACTGACTGACTGATTGACTGAGACTCGGGACGTTTTCTTTCTCTCCCCACCAAAAGAATCCCAGCGAAATAGCCGGATCCGCGCTATTCATGAATGAGTCTCCTCTTATTTCAAGGTGAGTAGTCTATCCTGTACTGTTCGTTGCTGAGCAGCAGCCTGTAGTGCAGCCCGGCGGTGTCTTGAAGGGTAAACTTTGGTAGACTTTGCGCTCCTGGGACGCAGTGAAAGACGTCCAGTGACATTGTGTACTCTGATGTCAGGTAGTATATACAGTTTTGCATGAGCAAAAGATCAAGATGATTTCTCTGCTGGCCACCTGTAACAGATGTGGACTGATGCTCTGAAGACAGAGAGACTGTAAATGCCTCAGTAGGCAGCGCTGTGTAGGTTTGGTGCAAATTATTGCATTATGTATTTCAGTCTACTTGAGACAAAGCCTGCTAAAGCAGCTTGCTCATGCAGATTTTGCAGAACTCTTTACACATGTGGATTATTCTGGGCTGAGTATCAGATTAGTGGCCATCACGAGAATACCAGAGAGAAGTATTTAGCCTGGAGATAGTCAGTCACTCCACTGCTGCCCTGCCTCCTGCCTCCTGTAGCCGGAGCTCGTGCAGCCTTGGCAGCCTGGGCAGAGCAGAAGCCACTGGGACGCTGATAAGGCTGGGCAGGCGCTGAGATGGAGCCTGAGCCTGAAAGAACTAAAGCACACACAGCTGTAGCAGTGCCAACCTCAACAATGCTGTTGACCAAGTGCATCCTAGCCCCCTTCTCTGTGTGTGTTTGGGTGGTAGTACAGGAGGGGTGGTGGAGGGCTGGTTGTTGGATTCATGGCTCTTTGACTCTCACCCCTCATGCAAACCAGATGAACCCCTCTTCTCTCTGTATACTCTTTCTGGTCCGGCTTATCTGGCCGGCCAGTTGGACTAGCTTTTATTCTCCTGGCCCCTCTAGAGTGGGTAAAGCCTCTCATGGAGAGAGAAAGGGGGAGAGAGATTGGCTTCTCTCTTGGCGTGTTCATGCCAGTCATGCGCTCCGGCACTTTATCAGTTGCCTCCTAATTTTAGAATTTAAATGAATCTCGACTTTAGTTCTGTCTCGCTCTCTCTCTTTTTCAGCATTTGACAGCAATTAATGAATCAGAGGTTTGGTTTGTGATGATTGCTGTTCATGTAAGGAGTTTTAGCAATGTAGATGAGGTTTAACCAATCAGAACTCCGATGTAGATCCACTTTTAAATGGTCAGTTTATCCAAAATACAAAGAGACATATTTTTCTCCTTTACTCCTTGTGCAGATACTTTTGGGCTTTGGCTTTAAGATATCTGTCTTTGATATTTGTGCTGCCACAACAATACACTGGAATACATTTAAATGACATTTGTCTTTTTAATTGTGATTAGTTTTCGGTGGAACTACTTTTAAAGAAATAATTCTGCTGAAATCTGTTTATTGTCAAGTTGAACCAGGAATTAGTTTCTGGAAAGATGAGTTGCTGCTGTCAAATGTGGTTTTATAGTGTTTGAAGGGCACAAACAGAAATTCGCTCATTGTTTTTGGGCAGCGACTGAAGTTCTGAAACAGATATTAGTTTATTGGCAAGACAATATAATAGGTTTAAGAGAGAAAACGTTTTTTTTTTTCTAATTTGGATGAACATCACATATTCATACCATTTTATAGAACATAGAGTCAGACTGGACAAAACCAGGACAAACAGACCAACACATCCAACAAAATTAAGCCTAAAAAATGGGTTTTGGTTGAATTGTTCATTGATTTCAATTAGCTGTGTTGTGTTTTTGCCATGTTTTGTAATGGCAGTCTTCAATGTAGAGGAGCTGCAGGTGAAACTGCATTATTTTGACCTGGGAGGCAACCAGTGTAGGTGAAGTAATTTCTAACATCTGTCTCTGTCATATTCAGCCACAAGCCAAGTGTTATCTTCACCTCTATAGAGATTAATGAGCTATAATGTAGGTTTGAGAAGACAGAGAAGAGAAAGAACAACTCTACTACCTCTGCGAAAAACAGCTTTTGATTTAAATGACCACCAGTTCAATCCATGACATTGATTTTGGAGTAATTTGAATATCAGGGAGCGTGATGTGGGTCAGGGGCATAGGCGACGCACAGTCGCTGCAATAGTACATCAGGCGAATTAGTGTATGTAACACAATTACACGCTGTGTGAGTGCACAGCAGCTCACTGCTACTACCCATAGCTGGAGACCCCCTACCTCCAACCCTCACCCCCTCCCCCCGCCGCTACCCCCGTTGCCCACGGAGACACTGATTAAACACGACTGTTCAGATGCTACAGCCCGAGGAAGAAGAAGAAGGAGAGCCCCCAGTGTGTGTGTATTGTGTGTGTTTTACTGTTTCCGTGTGTGCATGTACTGTGTGTGTGTGTGTGTGTGTGTGTGTGTGTGTGTGTGTGTGTGTGTGTGTGTGTGTGTGTGTGCATTCGTACACATGTACTTGTTATGTGTGTGTGCATTTACTGTCTCTGCATGGGGTGTGTACATTAGAGAACAGGAGAGAAAGTGTGAAGAGAAGCAGACAGGGACATGAAAACGACAGTGACGGGAGGGAGAAAGAAAGGGAGAGAGAATGAAATACTGCAGGTCATCAAGCACGACTGATATGATGTTGTCCTCATTCTTTTCTCTCTTTCATGTCTCTTTCAATGTTCATGCTTCCTCTTGTTTTAGTGTGTGATCCAGGCCTGGGAGGAGGTGGATGTACAGGTAGATAAAGATGGAAAAGACTAATAAAGACAGGACTAGAGAGTAAGAGAGAGAGAGAGCGAGAGAGAGAGAGAGAGAGAGAGAGAGAGAGAGAGAGAGAGAGGGTGGTGACAAACAGTGGAGGAGAGAAGTGAAAGGGAGGAGAGGTGGAAGTGGAAAGCGTGCAGCTCACCTGCCAGATGGCAGCTTTGGCAGCGCTCAGCATGCAGTGATGGCGGTCTTGCAATATGGCGCATCGCCTCCAGATTGTCACACCGTTGTTGATACAAACAGTGCAATAACTTTGCTGATGTGTGTGTTTTGCATGATTTTCTCTGGCACTAGTGTAAGTAGACAACATATGGTCATTAAAAAAAAAAATGGACAGAGTTGAAGGATGTAACGTGCGTTTTTTTTTTTTCTTGGGGAAAGTATTGACACATGACTTTTGAGTTTGAAGAGATTGTCATCTTTTTTTTTTCTTAAAGGGGCACTCCAGTGATTTTACACACGAGGATCAGTTTACTCATTATGAGAACTACTACTCAGCTTATTTGTTTTTTCTGTGGCTCTGGAGGAGTTTTCAAAAGTCTGAGAAAATAGCCACAGTGATATCATCAGGGTTATCTTAGGTTGGGCTTTGGAGACTACAGATTTTTTAACAGACAGTCTGTGTTAGGTGCAGAGTCTGAAAGACAGGAACGTTTACCTTGTAGGAAGAGTCTAATTAAAGATGCTGATAAGTTGCATCATGAAAAAATGTCTGATCCAGTGTCAATATATCTCAGCCTCTCCTGCAGTGATTAGTCAGTCCCCCAACTTTATGGAGGTGCGATGTTAAACCGCTGAAGTACCCCTTTAACTAGTCCTTCAAGTCCGGATTGGATGGTGCCACATTTCAGAACATAATTTTGTATTTCAGACATTTCATGATGAAGGAGCCTTGAAACATTCAAATTAGCTGCCAATTAAAATGTGGCAATGTAATATAGAAATAGAAATGCAAATATTGGTCATGGAGAATGTGTTATATGACATGGAAAATGTATGGAAATTGGTCTTAATGTGGTAGAGCCATGGCAAATCTGTGTCACTTCATTTAAAACCTTCTATTTCCCTCCATTTCAGCAAACGCCTCCAACTCAAATAATTTTCCATTTCTAGAAAATGAAATCTTTGTACTTTCTTCACGGTATGTCAGTAGAAGTAGGTGACATTCTCAATAAATAATAACATCCACAACTTTTGAACAATCTCCACATTCATCAGTCACTTTGCAGAAAACCCACAACTTACAAAGAACACAACGTTCAGTTTGGGGTATTTACCCAATTAAACGGTATCTGTGAGAATGTAGAATTTATGAAGGCTAAAGGTTATAGATATGTGCTTGAACAACTTAACTGTGTCTCCCTTGTGACTTCTGTTGACAGTCTTTTGGGGCAATCCTAAATTTAAAGTTTGGCAACCAAAACCCCTGCTGAATGAGCTGCTTGCTCTTAGAAAAAAGTAAGTCATCGGTTACCTACAACATGTCCCAGAAGCTCAGAGCACCTGGACTACATCTGAGACTTGTGCAGTGTTCAGCCCTTGGCAGCCACAAACCAGGTGGGACTACACTTACTTAATAGACTTGGAGAATTCAATATTAATTTGAGGATCGAGTCATATCAAAAAGGACAGGTTATAGCGATGGGAAATGTTCTTTGCTGTGTATTCGCTGTAAATTCTTTACTGTTTTCCCCAGTTTGTGTTATGCCTTAAGGTGCTTTTATAAAAAAAAAAGAAGCAAATTTGAAAATCTGCGTCCCATTTGCCTTCCAGTGGTTTTCTATTTGAGTGGAAATCACCTGTGTTTGCAGTCCTGGTAGACCTCTGGCCCACTAGGGTACTGTACTTTTAACCAGGCTATTTCTATTTCTGAACATTAAGGAAATGTCTGTGCATTTGCCTGAAATCACATTCAGAGACTTTGGAGACGGGATAGAGTTTCTGAGTAGGTTAGAATTAGGGACAAGTGGGGTTCGGCCGACCATGGAGACAGACTGAGATAATCTGGGCAGATGCTTGTATTTGTACAGCTTTTGGGTGAATGGCCACCAAAGGCCTTATTTGCACTGCGGATTAAATGTTAAAAGGGTTTTGGAGCAGCAGATACTTAGAGGGAAAGTTGTCGAATAGTAGAACATGCACCATCTCTCCTCCTCTTTCCTGTTTCTCTCTCCAATGCTCGCCGTCTATCGCTGTCTCCTCTTGCTCACAGTGATTTGTCAGCAGTGGAGGTAGCAGCTGTTCCTTTTGCATTGTAATTTCTTTGATCGTAATTATTCGTGCCAGATACCGCCAACCTTGGCATCCTCCACCCCACAAAGCCATATGGGCAAAGA